TTGGAAGCTCCTGGCCCTTGGCCTGCTCTCCGCCTCCTCTGTGCTGGCGGCCGCCCCGGGCGCCGGGGCCATGAGCAAAGAGGAGAAGCGCCGGTTGGGGTGAGCGCCGCCGCGGCGGGCCGGGCCGGCAGTGCGGGGAGGCGAGAAGGACGTTGGCGTTGGGTTGCCCTCGGGGCCGCCGGAGCATGGTGCGGCCGGGGCAGAGGCCAGCGTGGCCCAGGCCGAGCCCACTCTCCGTGGTGGCTTTGCGGTGTACCGGCGTCCGCTCACCAGGCCCTCGCTGTACTGGGGCAGGGGGATCTGCGCTAACCCGGGGGTTGGGTTGGGCTTGATGGGTGCGGGTGTGTCCCCCGCCCGGCAGAGCTCCGGGAGCGTCTCTCCTGTCCCTCCCTTTCCCTCCGCGAACATCCTACGAGATGCGTGGCATCGCAGTCCGGTCAGCATACGAGGTGTGCGTGCCGGAGCTGGGGTGGTGCCTCGGGTCAGGTCGCCCCTCATCGCCTCTGCTGCGTATGGGGTCAAACCCTTCTGACACACGCTTGGGAGCTCCAGTCTTGAAGACTGCAGCCAGTGGTTGCGTGTAACTATGGGTAAAAGTGATCAAAGGTAAATCGGAATCCATAGTCAGTTGGTCTAATTATGGCTGTGCCTCTGGAACATGGAAGTGTTTGGGAGTCATAAAAAAGGTAAATGTTTATACGTGGTTTTGCCTAGTTCCTGTATATAAAGTAAGCTACTTTGGTCCCCCATGCACGTATATGTAAGAAACTGATTCTCTTTTAGTATAGTATTTAGTTGAAAAACAAAGATGACAGTATAGGTGGCAATGCATTGCACTGCACAGAGTGGGACTGTTTTAGACAAATATGTAATCAAGCATATTATTGAGGCAGTTTCATCACTGACCTCTTCCCATCAGTTGCACAGAATAGTGATGCAAAAAGTCGGCTGGAGAAACTCTCTGGATACTCTCATGGTTATTAATCGTTAGATGTAAGTTGTTATTTAACTAACAGTGTTTACAGTTACTGGGGCTTTCTATCTTGGGTTGTCAGGGTACTTTGGGTGTATAATGTTTTATACATTTTCTTCATGTGAGTACATAAGGAGTTTAAATTTCATTCACCAATTGGTTTTAAAATTTTTGCATTTGTAAGTTGCGCTGGCTGTATCATCTGATGCCCCAGACGTACCCAAGTAATGTCTCACCACAGTTTGTATTTGGGGGAACCGAGCAGGATCATTTCTGAATAATGGCAATGAATCTGTATTTAATGAGAAGATCATGTCAGTCACAGAAATTCTTTCAGAAAATGCCCTGTAAATGTAAGCTGCATATAGAGAAATAAAAGTTTTAAGGAGCTTTCTGAATGCTACATGACTGAAGAGCACTGTGTGCTTAGTTCATCTGGACATGGCACTTGTGTGCCAAACTCTGGGATGTTGCCTGCTCTGAAGGATCCCAGAACTGCAGACTGGGTGTAGTCCCGGAAGTACCTGAAAAAAGCATCATATTATGCTCTTTTGATGACTTTGTGCATTTGATGAGTTAAAACTGCTTCTTAAATTTTAAGTCATTGAACTAAATCAGGTATTTTGCATATGATTGTGGTGTTCTTTTCTCTTTTATGTTCAGTCTTATCAGCAGAGATTATGAATTATGTTTATGGTACCTTAGAAATTAGCATGCTCATTGCCTCAGTAAAACAGTTAGGAACAGTTGGAAGTAGTGTTGTCTCTCAAAAAGACCAGTGAGTTTTTTTATACAGTACCATCTCTCACCTTGACTGCTTTTCAGATGTGTAAAATGAAGGTATCTACAAGAGTTTTCTTTTGTATTTGCTTGCCAAGACTTCTAGTGCAAGGAAGAGGTGTACCTCTTAATTTATGGCCCTTTTCTGAATCACAGGCAGGAATTTATGCTGTGTCAGTTGGTTTTAGTATTGATGATTACAATCAGAACATAATTCTATTTGCCAAGCATAGAAGGTGTCCCATCTCTGGCTTTAATGTGTTAGTGACATCTACAGCTATTTAAGGGGATGCATGGCAGGTTAAAAGACATCCCCAAATACTTAATTTCATGTTAGATGAAGAAATAGTCTTTTCTCTCTGCCGTGAAGGAAAGTAGCCAGATTAGGAAAATTTATTATGCTGTATTTCATTTACTTGAGTAGAGTACATTAGTAGAGGACTTGTTGCTGATGTTCAGGTATTAAAGTGTAATACATCTTGCTGTTCTAAGATGATGTGTTAAAGACCATTGTGAGGCAGACCATTAATGCTTTTTCTTTTGTCTATTTTAGAAACCAAGTGCTTGAAATGTTTGATCATGCATACAGCAATTATATGGTAAGTAAAATACTTGTTCGTTTAATTTTTTTGGAGTTGTTATTGCAGACCTGGGAGAGAAAGCAATATACAATACATTACATTCTAGAGAAATAGCAGGGAGGTTGGGGTGAAAACAAAGCTAGAATAACTAAGATCACCTGTATAGCCTTTAAAAAGAAATGAACAAATGTTACTTTTGGAAGAGCTATGTCAGGAGGGTTAGGATGGCTTTCAGAATGGTAGCTAGGATTTGCTAGCTGTTACTCTGTTACTCTGTGCCTGATCTCTCTCAAACCAATTTGTCTCACATCAAGCTATGAACAGTTTTCATTTTTGGTAAAGTATTTGCTTTGAAATTCCAGACTCCTAAAGCTACTTGGAAAAGGAAGCTCTGGAAGAGCTGACTGTAGTCATCAGGTTCCGAAGAATACAAATTGACCTTACTTATTTTGTAGGCAAAAGTTATGTACAATATTTCTTCTGTGGTAAGCTATGTTATATGCAGTTTGGTAGCTCTTTTACAGAGAGTTTGTAGAACAAAAAGGGGATCTGCTGTCAAATCTACGAGTTATAGCCTCTTCTGAGTGTGTGACTGTCACATGACAGTGAGCCACACTTGCTAGGGTTTCTTTTAAAATGGCTTGTGATTTTCTGTGCAGGTGTATTCATGTTCTGGGTATGTGAGCCATTCTGCACTCTAATCAACCTTGAAATATGTTAGCTTAGTTGAGATACGTTTCAGAATAATTACTTAGCATGGACTGACTTTCCTCAAATAATATTATACTATTAGTAATAAACTTCTGAGGAGAAACTGTAAATGTGAGTAAGTACTGAGTTTACATTAACAGTCTTTTTGTACCTTCCTTGTGGCTGTTGCAGAAACGCCTCTTTTAAGTTACACCAGTTCCTGCAGGACAAACCACTGTCTCTTGACAGTATCTTGCCACATGCCCCAGTTTCTGTATTATGGTTTAACACTTTAATATGTAACAGAAGTGTAAAAGCTTGTGAGTTAGAAGTTTATAAAGTACATGAGAGTTAGAGAACTCCAGAATGGATAGAAAGCCAAGCAGGAGTATTTTCAAAGTGGGTAGAGTTTTTAACATTAGCTCTTGCTTTTGACACCTTACCAGTTTGACAAACATCAGGCTTTTTGACGATAATTTGTAAGCAGTTACTTGGGACCTGGTTCCATGAAAAAAAACATTTGGGTTGTGTTTCCCATGGCATTCTGTAGTAAAAACTGCTACGTATTTGTCAAAATTGGATGAAATGTTATATGCTGGTAGAAAGGATCTATGTTCCTACTGTTCTTTGTGTGATAAATTGGGAACTGGTAGGTCTCTAGCACATCTCTTTCATCCAGAATTTCCTTGCTTCAGAAGAATGGCTTCAGCTATCCTGGAAACTTTGAAGCCAAAAGGATATTTACTTGCCACGTATGCTGGAGCACTAAACAAACAGAGAAATATGACTTGTTTGTTTAAAGTTGAGGAAAAGATTAGGGTATCAGACTTGATTCTGACATCAAGAGAATTAAGTATTTTTGCAGATGCTTTTGAAAGAGACAGCTGAAAAGTTTTGATTTTCTGTTTCTATTAATATGCGTTTTAGCCTTGCATATTTGGAAGACTGAAAATTCGTTTGCATGCAAGGGGGAAACTCCCTTGTCTTTTTTTTTTCAGTTGTTAACAGGAGCTTTGAGTAAAAAGCTGCTTTTTTCCCAATCCTTTGACAATATTTGTAATAGGACTATTTCCTTCTTGACTGTCAGAAAGAATATATGAAAATGTCAGTCACTTGATGCCAGTAGGTATTTCTTGGTTTACGGCACTAGTAGCAATACATCTTTTTTGATTGTTCAAATACTGTGTTGCCCTGAGTTTACAGTCCTGACATTAGGCAATATGATCATCTGGTCGGTCAGAATCTGTGGAAATTCCAGAGTGTCTGTTGAGCTCCATTGGTATAGTATTTTGCAGAAGTATGTTTATTGGAACATTTGTGCCATGTTTTATATTTAATGGGTCTTGCTATTACCTTCCTTTGAGGTTACTTGAAAGGGGTGAGGTTACAATTTGGGAAATGGAAATCACATGACCCAGTAGCCTTTCCTGCTCTAGACAAATTGAACTTTTGTTTTTCAAAATGCTTCTAATTCCTTATGAATTTGTAAGACTTCAAGTCCACTTTTTCCAGAGTTTTCATCACCTTTTTTCCCATAATGCAAGCCAGAGATCTTAGTTTTGATATTGCTTTTGTTGTGTACTTCTTTAATCTGTTTTTCTGAATACTTTGCACAAAAATACAGAAACATCTGAGCCATATTAAAATGATCTAGATTCTGGCTTTTGTAGTTGAACTTAAGGAGAACAAAGAGTCGAGTAAAGACCAAGACATTTATGAGGGTGGTAGATGGGGAGACAAACCATCAGTTTCAAAAGAAGCTGCTGTAGGAGCTGTTTATTTATAGAAGAATGTTCTTTTCCTCTCTATTTCAAGTTTTAATGCAGATTATTTTTTGTAGCATATATTTGGAAAGACTTTGAATGTATTTACTTGCAATTTCAGTGCAGTAATATAACTTTTTTATCTTGCCATGTTAGTTTTCCACCAAAAGTAAAATTGGACAGCACAGTACAGCAGCCACGTTCCTGATGATATCAAAAGACAGAAGCTTCATTCCAAATAATTTGTATTGGGCTTCTAATGGAGAGGCAGTTTCATGCATGTTTGTTGAAATTTGTTGATATATTTAAGATTCACCTTTTTAATGTCACTGAGCACTCTGAAAATTTTTCAGTAAACCTCTCCTATTGCGCAATGATGAATTTCAAATTTGTGTCCATTTTGTTTGATATCTCATTATGGTGGTAGTTGAAACCTCTGAAACTCACACTGACTGGAGAGGCGATAGAGACAGGCATTTTAATCAGTGTGCTTGATTTAGGCAATGGTACCACTCCTGTTATTTCTGACTGATTGATGGGAAATAATATTACAATACAGCTTGTGTTGCAGAGTGCTTTTTCTAGAGAAAGGGAAAGTAACTTGCTTTTCCAAAAAAATTAACAATATCTCTCTCTTTAAAAATATGTTATATTTGTAAAAGGCACAGTCTTGGTAAGCTTTTTTGTGAATGTTATCTTTTGTTATGCCTTGTGTAGTGATTAACCAATTTATTATTTTACCTCCTAAGTTCTCTTATCTGTCACTCATTGTGACCCTGAGTCACTTCTGTTCATTTGGAAATGTTTCCAAAGAGACTTTAAAGTCTTAATTTCCACTAATTTCTCCATGAAATACCAGCCACTTGATAGTGCCCGCATTAGTTTTAGATTTTAAATTCATCATTGAGATGATACCTTCTACCTAAAAAAACATTATAAGAAGGGTCACATGCACCTTGTTGCAGGAAGCACACAATTAACTTTTCAAGTTAATTGGTGGGTTGGGGTTTTTTTGGATGTGCTGTTAGTTGTTCCAGACTTCCTTGGGAGGTTAGAGAGAGAGGTCCTGTTGCTCTGTTCACAGTTTAATCATTTCCAGCCACCCAGCTGGAAAGCAGCTCAGCAGAAAAGGACCTGGGGGTCCTGGTGGATGCCACGCTGACCGTGAGCCAACAACGTGCCCTTGTGGCAAAGGCAGCTAATGGTGTCCTGGGCTGTATTAGGGAAAACATTGCCAGCGGATCAAGGGAGGGGATGCTTCCCCTCTACTCAGCACTGGTGAGGCCATGCCTGGAGTTCTGTGTTCTGGTCTGGTCTCCCCAGTACAAGAGAGATACAGGCGTACTAGACAGAATCCAGGGAAGGGTCTTTAAGATGATGAAGAGACTGGAGCATCTTTCCTATGGGGAAAGACTGAGAGAGCTGGGGCTGCTCAGCCTGAAGAAGAGCAGGCTTGTGGGGGAATCTTATAAATGTCTACAGATTTGTGATGGGAGGCTGTAAACAAGACAGAGCTGGGCTCTTCTCAGTAGTGCCCAGTGACAGGACCAGAGGCAACAGGCACAAACTGAAACATGGGAGGTTCCTTCTGAACATCAGGAAATACTTTTTTACTGTGAAGGAGACTGAGCATTTTGGCACAGGTTGCCCTGAGAGGTTGTGGAGTCTCCTTCCTTGGAGATACGCTAAAGCTGTCTGGACACAGTCCTGGGCAACTGGGTCTAGGTTGCCCTGCTTGAGCAAGGGAGTTGGACGAGATGACCTCCAGAGGTCCCTTCCCACCTCAACAGTTCTGTGATTGTCATGCAGTTTGTCTGAAGTACAGCATAATTTGCCTGCCTTTTAATGGGCTCTGAAGAGTTGCTGTAACAGTTGTAACTTACTCCCTTGTTTTGTTTCCCTGCAGGAGCATGCGTATCCAGCTGATGAACTTATGCCTTTAACTTGCCGTGGACGAGTACGGGGTCAAGAACCAAGTCGAGGGGATGTGGATGATGCCTTGGGAAAGTTAGTGTTTTAAATGGTTATTGTCTCATGTAAACATCTAAGAATCTAAGTACAATTTGCAGCCCATAAATCTTCTTCAATTGAGAGGTCCAGAAACTTACATTTGTAAGAAATACTTTTATTGTTTCCTCCTGTGGTGTTAACTGGTGTGAAATTGTACCTTAATCAGAAAAAGAGAATTGGCTAGTGAACGGGATCCACATTCATATTTTTTTAATCGTTCTCCAAGTATTTTTCCAAATGTGAGCTTACATTTATGGGATTACTGAATTTCACTGCTCAGTTGAGGTTATAAGGGTTAATTGTCAGCTGTGCAGAACAGTAAACTGTAATTCATTATGCTGGCCTTATAAATGATATTTAAAATGCTTTTTTTTTTTAGTAGAAACCACTCTCAAAATGCAGTTAGTTAAATTATTATCATCTGTGTGGTAGCCTGAGGCCTTTGCCAAAGTATAAAACATGACTTCAGACATAAAAATTCTTCATATTTTTTCTTCAAGATAGCTTATAATACAAAGTACTGATCCTTTGGCCAGCAAAACGTAGATTTTAAGGACTGTTTTTCTCCCTGTTAAACTGAACAGTGAAAGACTTTAAATGTGTTTATAATTGATTCTTTTCTTGTCTGTGTGCAGTTTATAGAGCAAATATTTAGTAACAAATAGCTGATGCTTTTTTAAATTGGTATCACTGCTTAGTGTCCCTAAGCAGAATATTATTTATCAGAGCTGAAGTCTTTGTCTTAAATACTCCTAATTCACTCTATGATATTGAGCATGACGTTTTGGTTATTTTTGGTTATGTACAAAAGTTCTTTAGAGATTCCTGTATAAACCTGATATGTTGGAGGTATTGAGGGATACAACTTATGAGAAAGAAGTGTCAAGAAAATGTATTTTTAATTCTGGTCATGCATCTTTTTAATGACCTTTTATTACATAGTAACATACTATGAGTAAAAATACCTTTCATCCCCTTAGGTGCATTGAATAGTTTAAGTTTGGGGTTTTTTTTTTTTTCTATACATGCTTTTATCAGTTTCTAATAATTATATTATTATTTATCAGATTTGTTATATAATGCATTTTCTTGCCAGATGGCTCATCAGTCATGTTCTCTACAGGCCTTTGCAATCACAAAATGACAGGGTGAGACAGCTAGGTCAGTTTTGTTTCCATGGAGGGCTAGGGAGTATGCTTGAACACCAGCCTTCTCTGTAGCTGTGCAATGCATAATCTCCCCCTCTTTTGTATGGAAAAAAGTTGTGTCTTTGTTATGCAGTTACGCATAACCACTAGTGAATCTCTTTCTCTTGTAGAACAACATTCACAAAATGCACATATCTTATTATATATGACCACTTAATTAGAATTTTGATTATGCTTCGTGCACGTGTTGCCTACAGGGTCTCAAACATTGGGTACTGGCTTAAATTCTCTATGCTTGTTCCTCAACAGGCAGTTGTAACTGTTTCCAGTTTTCATGTTCTATAAATTCTATTATGTGCGTGGTATGTTTCCTAACATAAGAGCAATTTTATCAGGTTAGACTAAAGGTCCACTCAGCTTGGTATGTACCATAGCAGGCCTAGAGAAGAATACGTGAACAGGACAACCCTCATTGTGATATTCCTGTTTCAGACACTATGGATGTTCTCTTTTTATGGATTAAGTAGTTTTTTCAAGGCCGCTGCTTGCTAGTGCTGGATGGCTCCAGATGAAATTTACTGTGAGAAACAGTGAATAGCAGATTCTCATTCACTTTCTTCATGCCATGTGCAATTTTAAAGTCTGCATAATGATATTTAAGCTCTTTCAGGCTGAAGAGTGCTAGTCTGTTCACTAGTTCCTAGCACAGAAGCTGCTGTGTACCTTCAGCCCCTCCCCTTACTGCCCTTTATTGTACCTTTTCCTGTTCCATTATATCCCACATAGAAGTTTCATAACAAAATAACAGCATTTTCTTTAGTCTTTCATCACTAATTTTAACACTGAGTTTGAATGCAACAAATTTCAGCTTTTTCAGAAGTAGATGATTGGTACAGTTTCTGGTAGAAATTTAGCTTGGAATGATTTTTTTGATCTTCCTAAATCTTTTCATTATTACACTTAAGTCAACATTCTTCATTTCTTGAAAAAGAAAGGAAAAAAGAGGTTGGAAAAAACTTTGAACCATTCTACTGGGTTTCTTAGTAGATTTGATTGGAGACTAGAAATAAAAACATAATTTGCTTACAAGAAGTTTGAAAGCTTTGCAGTAAGTAAAGGTATCTTTACATAGCTTGTTTTAGTCAGTTCCTATTCTGGTCCCTATCAAAAGGAAGAAACTTAGTAGGGTGTTTTGATATTAAACGTGTTGTGTACAACTAATTTTTTAGCAGCTAGTGGACTGTGAGATTTAGAATTTAGTTTCTTCCGTGGTATTGGTTACTATTAATAATGATTTGATTTCTACACATACAGGTCTGTAGTAAATCTTTTAAATTTTGTTTCATAGGTTTTCATTGACCTTGATTGATACCTTGGACACTCTTGTGGTAAGTTTAATTTATTGATGAACTTCGATAAAAAAAAGATTGCCTTCTGATTCTCAGGCTTATTTTTAGATTTCTAGTCTGTTAAATTCTACATTAAAAATACTATTTTTTCTTTGCCTTTGATCTCTGGCTGTCTGTTTGAAGGGGCTATTGTGTGTAAGAACTTCCATCTGATGCAGTGGTGGTGTTCGGAGTTTGTTGCAAAAAGAAAACTAGAACAGTTCCTTTACACTTCATTGATACTTTCTTAGCTTGCTTTTCTTAGGCTCTATTTTTAACAAAAAAGTATGTGAGTGGTTCCTATTAGAGTCTAATCCAACATGCTGACTTACAGGTGAACACCTCTTAATACCTACTGAATTATTTATGTTTTTAAATTGTATGTACATGTTTCATGAATTTTCATGCACTTAAATATACATTAAAAAAATGTAACCCTGGACATGTTTGCCAGGAAATGTTGCCAAATTTCTTATGTTCCATCTCTTATTAAAAAATTCCAATAATTAATAAACCATTTTTTGTTAGATTTCAATCCCTTTGACATATATTGTCATCCTAAGTTAAAGTTCAGAAATCAGGAATTTTGGGCCATTCACATCTACAAGTAAATTTAAAGTTTTGAAAATCCTTACTGTACTGATTTGGTGTGTGAATTGTATAATACTCTGACAGCCTTTCCCTTTTTATGATGTGCTTGTGAGGTGACCCTTGGCTATGTTGAACTGGGACTGCAAATGTTGAAAATGTGAAGTCTGGAACTCCCAGTCTTTACCAGACCCTCAAATGGATTATTGTGGTTTATTTATTGTTTTATTACCTTAGAGCAGGATTAATACTTGTGGAATTTAAAGGCACTTATGGTAACAAATTGAATAAGTCACAAAGATCAATTGAACCAAAAGAAAGTCAGTGTGAAAGCGATCTGTAGGAAGTGCCTGAGCTGTTGTTCAGGCATAAGGAAAAAAAACTTTTGGGAGGAGGAAGACTGCTAGGAGGATTCACTGAACTTCGGCTGTGGCACCTTAGTCCGTGGATAGGAGAGGCCAGTCCTTGCCCCCTCTGCCAGCACAGCCTGCAGCCTGCTGAGTCCTGCTGCATTACAGTCATGGTGTGCGAGTAGAGGAAGGAACAAACAAATCCCTGGGTAACTGCTTAGCTACATTCTCAGTGACTTTATTCTTTGTGTACAGCTTTTATTCTTTCATGTATCTCATGAGAAAAACAATAATACTAATGTCAGTTTGCGCTGTATCAGAGTATGCTCCTGTGGGCTTAGAATATCAATGTTAATGCTTTCTTTAATTCATTGTACTTGTTCTACACATGACTATTAGCTAACGGAAACACCTGGTTACATTTGTATTCCAGGTGTTAAATAAAACCAAAGAGTTTGAAGAGGCTGTAAAAAAAGTAATAAAGGATGTTAATTTAGATAACGACATAGTTGTATCTGTCTTTGAAACCAACATAAGAGTCCTTGGGTGAGTAACTTTTCTGTTTTAAAAACTCTTAAAAATGTGGAGGTTTAGCTAGATGTCCTTAAGGCATACCTTTCTGTACTGTTTCACCTTATTTAAAACAATTGTGCCTCTTGTCAGTTAGCATAGCTTGCCAGCTGCCCCCAGAAAGGTTTTAAAATGCCAGGCAGGAATCAGTACAGCAGTACTGAATCAAGTTGAGCCCCATCTAACTGCTGCAGGAGTAGTGCTTTTGATTTTAAAAAATTGTGCATGCTGATGAGGTAGCAGTGTTTTTCCTTAATGGAAGCAATCTTAGAAATTACACTGTTCAATACTTAATTTAACAGAGAACATTTTGATACTTAGCATAATAGATTATTTTAGTTAGAAGGGATTTCTGGAGGTCTCTAGTCTAACTTGGTGCTCAACGCGGGATCAGAGCAGGTTAGTTTTAACCTATTATATGCAGTTTTATATTGATGAATTAATGATTACATTTTAGGATTGAGTCTTAAACAGTAAGAGTTGCTTCCAAAATACTGGCAGCTAACTTTGGTTATAATTAGGAGTTGCTTCTGCTCAGCATTTCTGAAAATTAGGACTGTGTGAATATAGCACGGTTACATACATAGTCATGAAAGTTATAGAAATTTTTGCATTGCTGTTCAGATGAATATACCTTTTGAGATGTGGATATTTTTTCTTGTGTTTAGAGGTCTTCTAGGTGGGCATTCAGTGGCAATTATGCTGAAAGAAAAAGGTGAATATATGCAGTGGTACAATGGTGAACTTCTGCACATGGCAAAGGAACTAGGCTACAAACTTTTACCTGCTTTTAACACCACTAGTGGTCTCCCTTATCCAAGAGTAAGTTCTCTGGTTTCTGCAATTCAGGATTGCTTCTGTAAGCAACATTTTTGATGTTTTGTTATTAACGCTGTTTCTAAAATGTCTTGTATATTTATTAAGTGTAGAGAAAAAAGCTGATAAAGTGCTTATTTATAATACATGCTACCTGGTATTTTAAAATACAGTTTTAGGCTCTCTGAATCCCTTCCAACTCAGAAAATTCTAATCTATGTTGTTGTGGATAAACAGTAACAGCAGAAATCTTAACTAATCACTGCCTACTGATTTCTTGCTCCCTGCTACTATAGACACCACCAAATAGCTGGGGAGAGTAGTTTTTGTTTTGGTGCATATCTCTCACTAAGACAGTGAAAGGAGCAACTTGCAAGCACTTGTTTGTGAATTTAGTACAATACTGATTAATCCTTATGGTCTACGTCCACATTTTTAAAAGGGCAAGGGTAGCTGTAATCTAAAAATACTCAATATGAAAACTTTGATCATATTTAAACAAAGCATGGTACATAGTCTTTGAGTGACAGAAAACTACTTCCCATGCATATCCTCAACTGAGTTCACGAGATGTGGCTTTGATTGGAAAATTCCCCATAAATTAAAGATTTAGGCTCAGTAAATCAGCATTTTTCTAGTGAAAATGTCTAATTCAGAGTGTTCAAGATTTTATAGATCTTCTTTGTTCCGACTAGGGCCCTCTCTGCAGAAATTTGTTGTGGCCACAACAAAAGTGGGTCCATCTAGTGGGTATTCTCTGGAGCCAGGAGCAGTGAGATATTTACAAAACAATTTCCATGAGCACTTGTGATGTTCTGAGCTCCTGGTTTGCTGGTAAATAAATTGCTAGAATTAGATTTTCAGGGTGGTATTCTTTTATTCAAATGTACAGTGAACCAGAAAACAGGTATTTGGGGCAGTCCTTGTTTTGGCGGGTTGAGTAATTTGGGTACTTCTGGATAACTTTGTGTGCATGTTTGAGACATTGACAGAATGTGGTAAAGCAGAGCAAAACTGCAGGGGCTTTGTGATCTTTTTTTCTTGCCTTCAGAAAAAGTGTAGGTTATATAGTTGCTTTACAGACCTATCACAGGAGTGTAAATTCTTTCAGCTAGTAAAAATAAAGATGTTAATTTCTACTTTTCTCTAGGTTAACTTAAAATTTGGTGTAAGACATCCAGAAGCACGAACAGGAACAGAAACTGATACCTGTACAGCTTGTGCAGGTACCTTGATCCTTGAGTTTGCAGCTTTAAGCCGATTCACAGGAACATCTATATTTGAGGTTTGCTTTCCATGATATCTTATTTTTTGGATTAGGTATTCATAGTGTTCTGTTACATTTCTGTAATTCTGGAAAAACAATTTTGATTTCATGAAATCGGTGCTTATCTTAGCTATTCTGCACAAAAAGTTTGCATGTGTTCAGATTTGTTGTATTTGTGGATTTTTTTTCTAAGTATTGATTTGATTTAAAAAAAAATAACCAGGAAATAATTTTGTTTGAAAATAGTTAAATGTACTGAAGAGTGACTAAAAAATAATGCTTGCATCATTTCTGGGTAGAGGATTCATGACTAGTAAGAAGAAAACTTGGTCCTTAAAATGCAAATTTAAAGAAAAATATATATAAAAAAACTTCCACGCTTATATAGTCCCACTGAACATGTGCAAGACCTACTTAAGGGTATATTGTCAGCAGAAAGCTAAATGAAAATGCTTGCAGGTATTGTTTCTGCGATTTGTTTTTTGTTTGTTTGTTTTTAAAAAAAGGCAAGCTCTTTTTCACATTAGAATTTTTTACAATCTTTCATTTATGAATCTGGTGGCAACATAACTGGGGCTGTGTTGTGTGTTCTGGTACAACTTTCCCCCTAAAATCCCATGCGTGTGTTTTGGTGTTTTAAAGCCATTTTTGTTGGGTAGGTTGTTACCTTCAAGTGAATTTTGTGTATGTAAAGAATGTATATAGCTTGTATACTAATGAACAGAGGTTGTTGATCCACCTTGAGATGCCTGAAAAGACACAGCAATTTTGATTATAAGGATGATATATTTTTTGAAATATTTTAATTAGGTTGCACTATCCCATCTGTATGCACAGTTTTAGAGTAGGAAACCCATGCAGAAGGACGTTTGGCTTGCCTAAGACCATACCGTGTATTGGCAAATAGTTGTGTAGTCAAGCACCATTCTTCCTAATCAGCAGCCCCTACTAGTTAAGTGTATGTAATACTGGGTTTTATAATCATTAGATATGAAACATCATACTTCCTAGTATCTTAATTTCAGTAAAGAATAACAGTCTTTAGTATCTGTGTTTCTCTAATTAACTTTAATGAGCATTTTTTGTTGTTGCAGGAATATGCACGGAAAGCACTTGATTTTATTTGGGAAAAGAGACAGCGCAGCAGCAATTTAGTGGGTGTTACTATTAATATTCATACTGGAGACTGGGTTCGCAAAGGTGTGTGGTATTCTGACTCGGAATCAGTGACCACAAGTGGTTTTGGGCAAGAAAAAAAATCTTGACACACCCCTCCATACACACACCACACTTATCTAGACTGGTTTAAAACATTAATGGGATAGGCAAGTGGAATTACGTAATTTCAGTGCTGGAGAAATTTGCTACAACAAAGCCTGGCTTTGCTCTGAAAGGGTGTTTTGGTGGAGAAATTAGTTTTATTCTTTGTAAAGTTAGTGTTCTCTGATTCACTGTAATACTGGTAGGGGAATGTCTTGGGATAAGTTTTCAGAGATTCTACTATAAATACATAGGAAAAAATATAAATTGGTTGTTTATGGCAGCCAATAGAAATACTTTCACATGAGAAAACTCTTCAATGCATGTCTGTTCATATTATTATGTGCACTGATATTGCAAAGCCTTTAGCATAGACACAGTATTGTGTCTCTGCATTCATCTGTGCCTTAATTCTAGTGCTAGGAGGCTTTTCCTTTTACTGAAACAGCCTTTAAAAGCAAAATAAAACCAAGGGGAAATATTCATATAGCTACTTAAAGTAAAATCACCTTTTCATTTTCTGCTGTATCTAGATAGTGGAGTTGGAGCGGGAATAGATTCATATTATGAATATTTATTAAAAGCCTATGTCTTGCTGGGAGATGACAGTTTCCTGGAAAGATTTAACACGGTAAGTTAACACCTTGCTCAGGTTTGTGCCTTCTGTAAGACAAATTTAAGACTAATTGTATTGTCAGTCAGCTGTTAGCCTGAGAAGGCTGTGAAGAGATCTTTAGCATGGTTTCTGTGACTTCTGATGTGTTTAGTGCCAGCTCTTTTTGATATGAGTTTTTGCTAATCTTGGGTGAACTTCCACCTGAGCAGCTGTTTTAACCCCATCCAATCAAATGCTTCTCAAAATTGGACTTTTTTCCATGTTTTCAGTACAGGACAAGCTGTATTTCAAGATCACTTTGAAGAGTGTAATACTGCAAACTTTTCTGTAATGTAAGGGCCTCATTTCGCAAACTGTGATACAATTTATTTCTGTCCTGGAGCAACAAAAATGATCTGAAAAATCAAACTGCATTGCACTGCAGATCCTAAGGCCCAGTATACATTTGAGTATACTTACAAGCTGAAAGCCACACTTAGATTACTAAATTCATAAGAATGCTAAGCAGCTTTGTCAGCATCACTATTCTTTCGTGAAAGTATTCCTTCTCTTAAAAATAGCAATACCCAATAAAAAAATTTTATGTCATAAAATGATTTTATATAGCACAATTTTATATCATAAGCAATATTAAAATTGGAATAAAGCAGTAGCTAAAGGCCTGTAACAACACTTTTAATTGTAATGATTATTTCATATTCCTAACCTGCAGCCATCATTATTATATTTTGCCTCAATTATGTCTGTTAACTGTTCTGTATCAGTTTGGTTCATGTGCTTATGATTGTACCTTCTGTTATTCAGAAAACAAGAAAAGCATTTATCTTGGGAAGTATAGAATTGGAAGTCAGCAAGTTGACAAGTGAGCTAGTGGCTTTTAAAGTTCTTCTGAGCCATCAAGTCCAGCTGCTTTGTTGAGTTTTTTTATACCTCCTTTCCCTCCTTGGATATGTTAGCTTTAGAATTCTCTTGTTCAGAGAAAGTGATTTCAGCTTTGTTTAAAAAGTTGTGCTTAAAGATTTGGTCAAAACAAATGTGCCTTAGCTGTGATACTGTTTATCACATGGCTGCTGAATATACTTTTGTGTATGTGTATTACTTGGAAAATGTGGTGTGTATTGCATGTGTAATACTGTGGAGCTTTTCAATATTTTCTACGCTGCTTTTTAGTTTGCAAAACTAGAACCTACTGGGCATTGCCAAATGTAATAAGGGTTGGGAGTGTAGTACTAGTTCTTCCATTGAAATAAAATGCCATAGTCTAGTGATTACTATCTGTTTTGTATTGATTATATAAACTCATGATTTTTTCTAATGTTTGTCAGCACTATGATGCCATAATGAGATACATTAGCCAACCACCTCTTCTTCTTGATGTTCATATTCATAAACCAATGCTAAATGCTAGGACCTGGATGGATTCTTTGCTAGCTTTCTTCCCTGGATTGCAGGTAAGATTTAAAACCCACGTGCAGATGATTTTAATAACAAGGAAACAGTTAAGTAGACTGGATATATAGTTGACAAGTCAAGCTTAATCATTTGATGTTCAGAAATACCGAACGAGGATTTCTGTACTCGCTCCTGTCACTTCACTGTTATGATGCAAGTTAATGTGCATTTCTGGCCATGTTGAGTATCAAGAAAAGTATGTCCAGGTAATTTGCTTCCTTCACACCTAGTCATGAAAACACTCAGATTAAGGTGCCTTTGTAGTAGTCGAGTGAAAAATTTTCTAGTTTCTGTGTCATTTATAGCTTTAAGACAAAGCACCACAGGTCTCTGTAAGTGATAGAGATCCTTTTTCTACGTAGGCAGTAGTCTTTATGAGCTCGCTTATTTTTGCTTGAAAATCTCTTGTGGAATATCTATGGCTTGCACTGAAAGGGGTAATATTTACAGTATATATCTGGTGGAAATGTAGAACTTGGTCTGTAGCTTTGCATGAACACAGTAAGTGTGCCTAACTTTGAATATTATTCCTATGCATGGTGAATTAGTGTTAATTTTATTATTTGCTTTTAGGTGTTGAAGGGTGATATTAGACCTGCTATTGAAACTCATGAGATGCTGTATCAAGTTATAAAAAAGCATAACTTTCTTCCAGAGGTAAGGTAGTAACTTTTTGATCACATAAAATGATTCTTACCTCAATTTAAGCAGTCTTGGATATCTATTTGAAAAAAATAGCAGGTATATGTGTTATTAAAACCAAAGGCTCATTTCCACTGCATTCTTATGTGATTCACAGTTCTACACGTATGACAACTGTGTTTTGGATACAAAATGTTTTTTCTTCAGTTATGCTTAATTAACACAATAATGGGAAGCTGCTGCTATTAATAATTGCTTAGGCTTTATATTTCAGCCTTTCAAAATGGACTTTGACTCATTTCAAAATGCAAAACTTTTATAAGTGCATGTAGTAGTTGCTTCTTAATAATATAATAGCATTAATTCTAAGGATTGAAGTCATCTTTATTAACCCAAGGGGGGAAACTAAAGACTGACTATTTTGAGAGAATGTTCTGAAATTTTACATAATGCCCTTTGAAAGTAGGTACACAAACTTATCTGTAGCTATTGCAAGTGCAGTCTTTTGAGCAAGTTAATTCTGCACAGAAAAGCTTATTTACCTGCTGAAGTGTCTGTCTTTATTCTGGGATAACCCAGAATATATGAGAGAGCTTCTGACTTCAGTTTTTACTTTGACTTTCCCCTGGTGTAAGCTTATTTCTGTTAGAGAACATTTTAATTAACATTGCATTCACCTAATAGGGATATTGAGACCAAAGAATGCTCTCTAAGCACCAAGCTTTTAAAATGGTATGGTTTGGCTCCTTAGGGGTTTTTTAGGTTGTTTTTTTTATGCTTTGTACTTATGAAGGAAACTTTGAAAGATCAGTTAGTTGTATTTAAGCCAATAGGCCATCCCCTTTAGCAAAGACTTAGTTTAAACCCTAATGTGAGCTAGAAGTGAATGGAAGCCATCACAGAAGTGGCTTTTGCCAGTGCATATTAAGAGTGAATACATAGACTAGGAAATTTTTAGATAACTGACTTCTAGTCTGTGGTATTTCTTATGTTAGAAACAGCTGCTTATCATCTGTCAGTCTGAAATGAGAGCTTAATGCACTGGAAGTGTCAGGTGGTAGGTATGTTTGCAGAAATGGTATTTGTCAAAGCTTGGATGGTCTCTCTGTAGTGGCCCTTCAGTGGGCTGCATGGGTTGGAGGGCAGCAGCAGTTGTGTGCTTATGCCGATGGGGCGATTGGAGGCTGCGTGCTGCCTCCTGGCTCTGGAGCACACGTTCTCATCTGGCACCTCGTGCCAGAATTCCACTTGCTGGACATGTGCCAAGAGGCTGGATGGTGTCTGCACTCCTGCATCAACACACGCTTAAATCGCACTCAACAAAGTGGGCTAGAGCACTCGCTTAGGTTTTAGCCTCAAATGTACTAATTGGACAGAGAGTCTTGTAGCCTCCTGGGACTGATGTTGGACCTTCAGTCCTTCACTGTTGTGTACTTTACCTGTTGTAATACCGTTAAGGTAGGATTCCAAATAAACCTGCATTTGGTTTTCATTCTTGCGTTTATTTTTGTCCTTTTTCTTCCTCAGGCATTCACAACAGACTTTAGAGTTCACTGGGCTCAGCATCCGTTAAGGCCTGAATTTGCTGAAAGCACTTACTTCTTGTATAAGGTAAGATCACTTCCATTCCTCTGACTGTTGATCACTTTGTCTAGCATCTTGAATTTTATTGATGTTTTAGTCCAGTATAGAATGAGTAGCCTATCTGCAGCTTATTTTGTCTACTGGAGCCAGTTCTGTATGTAAACAAGATTAAATCAAAAATTGTTACAGGAATTTTGGTTTATATGCCTAGAATTAGAAAACTGTTAAGTGACAAAGGCCCATATTTTTTAAAGATATTTAGGTGTTGCTGATCTCTCTTAAAGAGATCTTAGAGACTAAGAGCAAAAGCCATTTGTACCTTGAGAGAAGAGCAGTGCCTGAATGTCTTGTGTTTCTGTACTTCCATGTGCTTATCTGCATATCTGTAAAAGATAATGCCATAGTATCTCAGAAGTCTCTTTTGTGACTGTTTAGCACTATTAATAAAATAGACTTTATTGGTGTCTGGAAGGTATGGAATCAATAAATTAGCATTAGGAAAAGCTAATTGCATAGTAAGTCTAAAGTGCACATATATGTTTGGGTTTTGTTTGGTTTTCTTTTATAGGCTACTGGGGACCCTTACTATCTAGAAGTAGGAAAAACACTAATTGAAAACTTGAACAAGTATGCACGAGTACCTTGTGGGTTTGCTGCAATGAAGGATGTTCGTACAGGAAGTCATGAAGACAGGTAGAAGTTTTTGCAATTATTTTTTTATAAAAGGATTGTAGAAAAAATGTAATTACCCTGTTTATAGAATAGAATTTACTTTTGAGTAGCTGTTTTTCTTCAGTTTGATAACCAAGTCTTAAATTACCCATTTATCAAAGTCTATAAACTATTTTAATAGTTTTATAGTTTGTTATGTTAGAATATTTTAAGTTTAATAATGTTTCATTTGTCTCAGAGCAATAGATTAATTACTTTCAAACAAAAATGCTTCTAATCTAGACATTTGTAAAGAAGTTTATTTGTTTTTTCTATAATGCTGTTTTGTGCTGAACATGCTGAATCATTTCCCTCCAAACATCATTTCTTCCAAGTGGAAGGAATGATAATGGAATTAAGTTCAACAATAATAATCATGAAGTCTTCAGAGATAGAGTAATGAGTCTTTGTTTCACTGATGCTTGAGAAAAAAGGGGATCTTCCTAAAGGGCATCCATTTTTTTCCATAGAATGGACTCTTTCTTTCTGGCTGAGATGTTTAAATATCTTTACCTGCTATTTGCTGATAAGGAAGACATGATTTTCGACATTGAAGATTACATCTTCACTACAGAAGCTCATCTATTACCACTTTGGCTTTCTACTACAAACCAAACTATCTCTAAAAAAAATACAGTAAGTAAGAGCTCAAATCTAAATCAGTTTTAGTAGTACTTTGAAGCAGGTTTGTTTTTTTTTTTTTTCCAATGAGAGAAAATGGGAGAAAAATCAGAAAAAAATCATAGTTTGGAGAAGTATACCTGTTTTAATGCTTCGTTTAATATGAACTATTTAATCATATTAACAGTACCAGTCACATGAGCATGAATAATGTTTCCATGACTGGATTCTGCACCATTGAATCTTGAGAAAAAAGCTGTGGAATGTCAGCAGCATTAAAAAAGAAAATCATTCCCCATCTCTGTATAATGATATTTTTAATCTTCTTCTTTACTCTGTATTATTTTTTTCTACAACATCCACAACAACACACCTAAGTCTTTGTTGTTTATTTTACTACGTGAACTGTTGGCAAATTTTGAGAGGTTTTTAGAGACTGCTGAAAAGTTAGTTTGACGAGATAGAGCTATGGATTTTGGGTTATTTAATTGCTTTAGTTCATGCAATAGGCATCTACTGTGTAAATGTGAGAACATTTATGGGTTTATAAATTACTTAACCTTCCAAAATAACCTATAGTAATATAACTGTGCTGTGAAGCGTCATCAATACTCTTCTTTTGTTCAGTTTTGTGCTCAGTAAGGTGACATAATTGATCTTTAAGCTAATAATACTACTGGCAAGCAAAAGAAATGCATGAGAAAGTGGAAGGAAAGACATGTCTGGGGTATCAGGGATATGCATGCCTTTATGTTAGTTCACCTCCATTTTTACCCTTTACTATGAATTTTTTACAATAACATAAAAAAATTAGAGGAAAATGCTCATGTTGTGTGACAAGTCGTGTGTCCTGGAGAAATCTTATAACTGAGTAGAAAGCACTCTGTTTTATGGACATTAGACAGTGAAAAATTTTTAATAAGTTCCTCTTAATGTCTGACACTGGTAAGACATTTAATGGGTCACTGGGTTGGTTTTTCATATTCCTTGATGGTGGATATCCTGCACCCTCCCTGAAATGATCTCTCCTTGACATTTATCATCTTTTGTCTTTGAGTTTTGGAAACGAAGACTGTTTTTTTTAAACTATGCAAGAAGTTCTCTGAATGGTCTGAAGGAGCATTTTATATAACTTTATTTCCAACATGAGAAGGTCATACTTTTGAGATGGGATTCCCACAGTTGATGGTGACCTAACATATGTAGTTCTCTTGAGAACCACAAATATTAATGAAAGGCCAATAAAGGATATCAAACAAATTGTTCAAATGCAGTTTTCTTAAGCTATTTAAGTCAAAGCTGCTAACATGCATAGTACAAGTAAGAAAGATCAATTGAAAATGGTGTTGGTGAAGTGCATTAAATGGCTAAAAGGCTGTGAAGATGAGTGTGTTAATCTTCTATGGAATTTATCTGATGAGAAAAAAATTGATAAGAAAAATTGAATGTATAAATTAAATATAAATACAGTGCTGTTAAGCCAAAATTTCTGAGATAGTTGGTAGTATGAGCCCAACATCCTGTTTGTATTTATTCTGATAAACAGGAAAGGTCATGTCTTATGATGCCGCTGCTTGCAATAGTGCTTGCAAGACTTTCTGAAGTGATGTGACTACTGTTTGTCATACTAAGAACATAGGTACTTTAAAGTGTTTATTCCAGTAAGCTAATACCCTTTTAGGTCTTTTTTTTTTTTTTTTTAAGGGACCCTTTAAATGCTTGATTTTTAATTACCTAATATGATGCAAACAGGTTTGGGGTTTTTTTGCAAGTAGACAAATACTACATTGTGTTGGTTTAGGCCCTGCTGGGACCGGAGACCCTGTTGCCGTTGTCCCTCCCCCACCCTCAGACACAAGTAGGGCACAAACCCCTGGTTAAAATAAGAAGAAATTTAATACAACAGTGTAATAAACAATCTGAACAACAGCAGTAGCAATGATAACAACAATAAACAGTAATAACAGTAAACAAGACAAAAGATATACAGAGAAATACCACAGTGGTTACAGACAGCTTGCTCACATGCTCCCTGCCACCAAAGCCACAAAGTTAAGCTTCCCTCGCTGCTGCGCTGGACCTGATGTCAGCATGGTATGAATAGCCCAGCTGGAGAGCCCTTCCTCCTCTCTGCTGGGGAAACTTAACCTTATCCTAGCTGAACCAAGACATACATTAATTTTTATAGGTGAGAAAATTAACTTGCCAGTTACCCAACCAGTTACTTGCAAAACTAAGGGCAGGCTAAATATGGCTCCAAATCACTGTACATGTTCCACATGGTTTCACATGTTACAAAACAGCGATTTGTGCAAATGTGAAGTCTGTCATCTTTTCCGGAAATAGAGATTGTTTGAATTACATGTAGATTTATCCTTGCCCATTCAGACTTCTGGGTCTGTGTGGCTCCTGAGGAGGAGAATCTTTTGTTTGTATGAAAAGATGTGACATTCTTATTATTATGAAGCAAGAATAACCTAAGGTCAGCAGCTGGTCCACTCAGCATAAAGTACAATTTCAGCATCATCTTCCTTTAGTTCTCTGGCATGTAAAAGTACAGGGGCTCTAGCTATGTCATGAGCAGACTTGAGAAGTGCTGTTTGCAACTGAGGATTAGCTGTTTCTGCAAAAAATCTCTAGTAATTGTGGATAGAAGTTTGGTAAGTTACAATTTAGAACTGGTGTTATATTTATCTATCCCTAGAAAGAAGTTGTAGTGCACTGGTTACCCTTTATTATTGCAACGTGTGGCACAGAGGAGTGATTGATGTATTCTTCATTCCTGGAATCCATGGGGTTGTAGGACATTTACTGCATTCAGCCACTGTATGTCCTGAGTACACAGATTACTTAAGGGTAGGTCTGTCTGTTGATTTTCTTTGTATACAAATGTAACCTTCATTTTTAATAGAGTATCTGTTCCTTTCATTTTAGACTACAGAATACACAGAGCTGGATGACAGCAACTTTGACTGGACCTGTCCAAACACCCAGATTCTTTTCCCAAACGACCCTATGTTTGCTCAAAGTATTCGTGAACCTTTGAAAAATGTGGTGGATAAGAGCTGTCCGAGGGGTATTTCCAGAGCGTAAGATGAATATTTTCTGTCTTTTGTTAGTGTAGGAGTGAGTGGAATTGTGTTTGTTATGCATGGGAGGAGAAATACGAGGTGTATTAGAGCTTGTTCTGCTAAGTTTGTAGTCCTTTCAGAATGGATAGCCTAGTTAAGGGAAAAATCAGTGGGTTTTCTCTGGCATCATCAGCAAGACTTGCTAATTCCTGATGGAAATGAAGTAAGTCTTTCAAAGCAAAAGGAGCTTAATGAGCAACCTATCCACGTGGGAATTATAGCCCAGGTACTACGGGAAGCATGTCTCTGAGTTGTGAAATTAATTTCTGTAGCCTCTTGAACAGTTCTGCAACTCTTCTTTGTAGTAAACAAATAAATCGTGCTACTGTACATAACTTCATCTATTTTGAAAAAATGTAGGACAGTCTGTTAAAGCTGAGGAAGTTTATCCTTTTGACTACCTCTTTGATATTTATACTTCATGAGTAAAGCTGAGTAGCAACTGTATGAGGAAAACTGGTTTTAGTCCTACAATAATGCGGACTATTTAGAAATGAGAGATAGCATATGGTAGTTTTGTTATTAACACTGCATGTGCTTTTTTGCACTACAGAAGTATTGATACTATTGACAACCTATAAGAAAGGTAGTTTGACTGAGAATTTGCATTCTTGTGATCAAGCTTGTACTCAATATTATCCCAAAGAATTCTAATCTTGTGGTGGTAAGAATAATGTGAGAGTTACATTTCAAGAATAATCTGTTTTTTAAAGCTTTGCTGTGGAATATCTTTTGGCAGAGAAGAAAGTTTGGGAAGTGGACCAAAACCACCATTGAGAGCTAGAGATTTCATGGCCAGTAATCCTGAACACTTGGAGATACTGAAGAAGATGGGAGTCAGTTTGATTCATCTAAAAGATGGAAGAGTACAGTTAGTACAGCATGCAGTGCAAGTAAGACCTCACAGTACTTTTTTGGAAAACGTTCAGTAAAAAAGTACTAACAATGATATTTGACACTTAGAGGTTCAGGAAGAACAGCCAGACTCTGAAAGGAGGCACATGAGCTGGATATGCAACTATATTTAGCAGGTTAATATTTTGCCTCAGCAACACTTTTTAACTAATTTTTCATTAAATTAGATGGAGGCTGTTCATGTCGAAGTGATGTAGCTAACAGCATCTTGTCTGAAAATGCTAGCTTGTGCTGTGAGATACTTCCATTTGTTTAGGAGGTCTATATGTTTGAATGTTTTCAGTCTTCTGGGTGGTGGAGGCACTAAAAGGTTAACTTCCGTAATTGAAATGATCCATGAGTGCCAGTGAACTTCCATTCTGTATTTTAAAATCTTTATAGCCATGGCCCAAGCAAACATAACTTCAATTTATTTTTTTTTCCCCCAAGTTTCTCAAACATTTAAGTTGTTTATTGTTTCTTTACTACTCAGGCAGCAAGTTCACTTGATGCTGAAGATGGCTTACGGTTCATGCAGGAAATGATTGAACTCTCCAGTCAGCAACAGAAAGAGCAACAGCTACCTCCTCGTGCTGTTCAAATTGTTTCCCATCCATTCTTTGGCAGGGTGGTCTTGACTGCTGGACCAGCACAATTTGGGATGGACTTATCCAGACACAAAGCAGGGGTATGTAAGATGTGTATGTGATCTCTTCCTAGCTTTCTGTTACTTTCCTTATTGCATAAGCCTAAATTTTTCAGTACTGGTACTATTTCAGGGTGGCCAGCTAGAGGGTGATCAATTAATTACAGTGGTTAAAATGACAAGGCACAGCAGTGACAGTCTTTTTGATAAGTGGCTTATTGGTCTGTGGCCCATGCTCTGCTCCTGAGTCATCATTTAAGATTTAAAATGTATGGTTTTTTGAAACAACTTCATATAATCTGGAGTGCATATCTTAAGGCATGTAATTTTAGGAAAGCTTTCCTGCCATGTCAGCCATGACTTTGCAGAAGCCTATTTAGAGTAGAATGTTCTTATGCAAGCTTTTATAAAAGGCTGTGTCTAGATGGAAGAAGAAAATATCACAGAGGCAATGGTCCCTATTGGAAGCAGTAGGAAAACCCGATGATTTCAGTTGGGCAAGATGAAACCCCAAAGAGGAGTTCCAGACTCACAGTTCACAGAAGAAAATTTTCCAGAGACAACTGTTCACAGGTATAGACAAAATACACTGAATATGAGAATTAGGTTTTCACTCGGTTGTTCTTTGCTTCTTAGAAATCTGACTTCAAGGTTAAGATTGCATTCACTGACAGTAGACAACACTACCTGTGTTAGCTAACTGAAGAAACAAAAAAGCTTAGGAATCTTTTGCAAGCTTGAACCTAGTGCTATAATTCTCTCTCTTTTTGTTTTTGTTTTTCCAAACAGACAAGAGGATTTGTTGCAACCATTAAGCCATATAATGGATGCTCAGAGATCACTAATCCTGAGGCAGTGAAAGAGAAAATTGCTCTGATGCAAAGAGGCCAGTGTATGTTTGCTGAAAAGGCACGAAACATTCAGAAAGCTGGAGCAATAGGAGGCATTGTTATCGGTAAATAAAATTTTAAGTTCTTAAAATCTTCAATGTGTATAGATGTGACCTGTATTTTACAAATTTGACGATACTGGAGAGCTGACAAGAAGCTGTTAAACTCTCTGAGATGACAGTACTCCAACGCAGAAATTGTACTTTCAGAAGATGAAGAAATGTTTTGGTTTTGTCCGGTTCTGTACAGAAAGTGTAGCTAAACAAATGGATTGGGTGATTGTTACAGTTTTTGCAAATTAGAAGTTGTTATTTTAAGGATGAAAGTTTTGCAACAGTGCTGTCTACTAACTGCTGAGGAAGACTTGAGATGCAAATGAGAAATGTTAAGGGAAACAAGTAGACAAGTTGACTTTTGCTTTTTACAACCAACTTGCTATTTTCTGCCTTGTATCCTCTTAACTGAGCAGTAGAAAGCTGATGAAAAAGTCTGCTGAAGTTGAGAGTGATAGTCTGTTTATCTAACAAGAGGTTTGCTTGCTTTTCCTTTTGTGTGCATCTGACTAGATGACAACGAGGGAAGCAGTAGTGACACAGCTCCTCTCTTCCAAATGGCGGGTGATGGAAAGAATACAGATGATATCACAATTCCCATGCTCTTCCTTTTCAACAAGGAAGGAAACATTATACTGGATGCAATCCGGGAGTATGAGGCTGTGGAGGTGCTCCTTTCTGATAAAGCAAAAGACAGAGGTAAGATTAGTGGTTATTTATACAAATTCATCTCCCATCTGTGCCCTGGCAGATTGAAATGTACAATAGTGATTTCTACTGCTGCCAAAAGGGGCAAACTTGTTAATTGGTAGCTCTAGTTTTCTGTTTGATGTTGGTATTAGTTTTTTCATAAGAAAGCCATGATCTGGCATGTGTCATTATCCATTCCCCCCTCAAGTTAACATTAACATCCAGAAATACTGTTTGTAAGTTGTCAGTTTGACTAATGAGAAAATACAGCCTTTTGGATTTCTTTTGAACCCTTTTTGTCATAATCTTTGAAGTAGTGTCAGGAATAGTTTAAGTATTTTCAATGCCCTACATTGTAAACGCCTTTCCCTTATCAAGCTCCCAAGTGACATTTATGGTACCCAAAAGGAAAGAGACAACTGTTACAACTATTTTGCCTATCTAAGGAGAAGTGGTTATTATGAGAAATAAGGCTGCTGACCTCCGATGTTCTGCAGGTTTTTCTTGTATAATACAGGAAAATTGCAAGCTAATAAATTCCCAATTACTATGTTTGCATATGGCAGAAAATTGTAGGTTTTCCTTTTGTAAGCCTTCTTCATAGCACTGCTTTGTCCAAGCAGAGTATGTAAGAACACGTATCTCTAGTAAACCAGTGACAGTGTTTATTTTCTGCACTTATGCAGAGGTGATATGCTGAAAGGTGCAGTGGGTTTTTTTTTTTATAGCTGCTTACAAATTCTTCCTGTTTATAACTATGGTTAAGCTGCTTTAACAAAATACTAAATACAAAAGATGGCTCTGCATTTGAGGATTTGTAATCCATATCTGCTTCTTCCCCACTCCTTGTGCTTCCGTTTTTGGAATCCCAGCAACAATCTTTAAAGGTAAAATGCTTCCAAACTACATTATTGATAGAAGTAAGTATCCCATGTTAAAAATGGCATATGCAGTTAAACTCTCTAGAAGTCTTGAAATATTAGTGTCTTCTATACTAGCTATAAACATCAAACTCCAGAGATCTGCATGGTTAAATCCTACAGCTATCGTAAAGTTACAAGCTAAATCAGTACTTGAGATATGTATGTTAATTGCTTTGTGTGGGGATGTGCTGATAGAGGCTTCAGCTTTGGCTCTCTCTAATTCACAGTTCAGTAAACTTACAAAACTCTGTTCATCTCCCACTTGCGTGGATGTGGGATCCTGGTGGATGTGGGAGTAATTTAAAATTTGGTATTAAAGTTCAGTGCACGCAGTGGGTATTTGCATAAGATTGAGGGATGGTAACTAGTACTGACACAGAATTCACTACTGAAGTTTGAGGAAGTGACACATTTCACTATATTGTTTGCCCTCGTTTAAAATGTGTTTAAATGTCTTCCCTCCCTTCTCTCTGTAAAATATGTTTCTTAATAAAATTAAATTTTCATATCAATGGAAAGTCCGCACATCCTTAATTAAGGAAATAAAGCCAAGGGAAGTGACATTGCTTCTGAAATACATAATAAAATACTGCCTTCCTAGGTTTTTTTTTCAAAACATTTTTCTTTTCTTCTCTCTAAGACTTGGAAATGGAGAATATGGACCAGAAATTATCTGAAAACGATTCACACAAACAGAATTCAGAAGAAGCTGCTGCAGCATCTCAGGATGTTGGTGCGGTCAGTGAGGAGCCTGAAGAAGGAGAAAATTCTGATGTTACTGACGCTGATTCTTTATCTCCTGCTCACGCAGACAGTGACAGCATTTCCATTTCAAATCAGGATGCCTACGTCCCTGGAACCGATGGGGCCAGTGCTCTGGAGCCAGCATGTACGCAAGGGGATAACCAGCCTCAGGAACAAAAGACTGAGACAGGGTCAAATTCTAAAGTTAACTGGGATAATAAAGTCCAACCTATGGAATCCATATTAGCAGACTGGAATGAAGATATAGAAGCATTTGAAATGATGGAAAAGGATGAGCTATGACTTGTAATCATAACTTATTTGTTAGTAAACAAACGGAGAACTCTTTGGGTAGAAGTGATGAGGCCCTGATATCTGAGAACTAGAAAACACATTCAGTATTTTGATGAGCAACCAGGTTTCACCTGGAAATTACCACAGAAATCCAGCACGTGCTCTTTGTATTGTTTTAATTTTTTCCTGTTTAAAAATGGGAACATGCAATTGAAGCATTTGCCTGGCTCCACTGCACGGTGCTGTAACCCAGGAGCTCGTGCAGGGAACGAACCTGACTTCTGTGTTCCAGGCTCTGAGAGGTCACGCTCCCTTGGTTTCTGGAAAGCAAAAGTTGAATGTGGTGGGGTTAACACACCACGTAACGGTTATTGCTGAGAGCACTTGAAGGCAGTAGGTCAGCCACCATTCTGGTTGGAGAAAAGGTGTGGTTTCTCTGATCTCTGCCGAGATGAAAGCCTTTGTTGATAGCAGCAAGTGAAATTGTTTCCAGTTGTTGTGTCTTTAAGACATGGCTAGAAGCAGTTTGATTTTTGTCCTGACACATTCTACTGAGGCATAGTAGTGTTGCTCATCACTCCTTCCATCTGTTACCGTGAAGAATGACCATGATGACATGCGAGTGTTCCCTTCTCCGCTTTCGACTAGAGAAACTGTATAAACCAAAGGAAACGTGTACTTTGTAAGCAGGTTCCATCAGGGAAACTAAGGGAGCTTTGGGCTCTACCAGGTTGTGGTAGTTGTACCATATTGTGAAAGTTATGCTCAAGCTTAAGATAAAGTGGACAAGGCAGATGTTGAGTTACAGGTATTTCTTTTGGCCTTCCAGGTTGAAAAGCTCATTCTACCCCAAGATACAGAATTTAGACTGGTGATATTCTCTGAAAGGACACTAAACAGAACTAGTTCAGCTATAACAAAAAAATCTTCCTTTTTCTACAATTTGACTTCTGACAGCTTGAATTTGTTGCCATTTTTTTTTTTATATGCAACTTCTCTACTTGTGATACTTCAGGCAGTGAGGCCAGTACCAGTAATGAAGTGCAACAATTTTGGCTGTTGGGTCCATAGTTCAAAGTGTAGTGGTGTGAGCTGCAAGGGTGACTGGTATGTTACTCTGGGCTTGGGGAGTTTGTCACAGGTAAGTGTGAGTCCTAATCTGTTATCCCTCTTATGAAAAACATTATTTAAATAAAAATGGGGATGTTTAAACAACAGAGAGACGTTTTGACTGTGTCCAAAGAAACTGCCAAAAACTAATTAACTTCATTTATATAAACTGCTTTTAGTGAATTGTGGTTCAAAGAATTGTTTTATATTAAAGAGTAAATTAACACTGCCTATATGCTGCACCAGTCTAAAAATGAAGGTTTATGTTCATCTTTGCAATGGAAAGAAGGAAAAAAAACACAAAACAAAAACCCCAATCTTAATTGCACCTTTCATTTAGCTGGTGAAATTATGTGTGCTGAATATGCAACTGTTAATTAGTACAGCCATACTGTATTTATTTATGTATACTCCTGTACAGTGTGAATGGAGAAATCCCAGGCAAATGTTGTATACATGTGTACTTAATGACACTTGCTTTCAAGAGTATCAAAATGCACAGGCACCTTTTGAGAGCATGACAGTCAATGAGAATATTATCCATAAACTGAATGATAACTTTAAATAACTAGAGTAGGAGGGAATTTCAAGGAGGAAATGAAGCAGTAGCAGAATAGTGAATAAGTGTCCTTTTAAATACATTAGCTTTTAAATGTAGTTATAATTCCTTTGCACAAATAACTGTATGGAGGTTTGGACTGAATGAGTAGGGCGTGAAGCAGCTGGGTTTTTTCAGTTGAAGGTTTTTTTGTTTCTGTATTTTTTTATGTGAGTTTCCTCATGTGAGGCATTTGATCATGGGAGCCTTTTAAGTGTCCTTTGGTACTGGGAGCCCCAGCCTGCACCTGAGGGATGCTGCGCTTCCCCGGTGGTGCCCGGGCTTCGAGTGATGTGGCCAAGTGCAGCAGCTGCAGGATCAAAACTGTCAGGTGCAGATCAAAAGTTTTCACTCTGATCTTTCCTTTGATCTGTCAGTGCTTAGTGCCGCAAAAGGAGCATTTTTGTTCCCATGCTCTTTGACACATCTTCATCCTTGTTAGCTCTCTTGGTGGAGATAGAATTATTTTTATGGCTATAGAGGCCCTCTGGTCATTATGTTATGACTGTCAATATAGCAACTAAGGTTTTCTTTTTTTACTTGGAGAAAATTTAGGTGTAGATGTAAAATTTTATTAAAAGATTAATTTTCCTTGCCATCACCAGCTCATTTTTATTTAACTGCTTTTTCCACATCCATTGCTAAAGCAGCAGACATTAGCTCTCCATTTAAGGGATTTTGAATGATCCCAGAACTCCACATGGATTTGGAGCATCATTTTGGTGGTGGCCTACCTCAGATAACTGTTGCCTCCTTCCTTTTGGGTTGGTTTTTTGTTTCGTTTTGGTTTGTTCTACTTTACCTTTGAAACCGTCATGAGAGCCATAGCTTTGTTTACAGAACTGAACTGGGTAAGGTTGACCTTTTGGGAGAGAGGACTAAATTGAGGAGGCAGTTTTATTCAGGTTATTTTCACTTTGTATTTCCCTATGAGGAAATAGGCTTTAGTTTAACCTTTTCATATTGTTCTGGAAATTGTTCAGTTTTCTGTCACTGTCATCTAAAAGGCAAGAAGAATGTATTCATCAAAAAAATAAAACCTTTTGGAGAGGGGAGTAAGTGTTCTTTTAGAAGTCTGCTCCCTCCATGTAGAATACTGCTTGTACAACATTAATCAGTAATCACCTCTTTCTTTGTATAGTATTGTACATTTCTCTGTGTGGTATTGAACACTGAAGAATTCAGGAATCGCAGATGGAACTAGCACTTACTCCATGCCATGTAATTCAGATCAGCCAATTAATTTCTCATTTGATTTTAGAGGAATCTTCTTAATTGTTTACATTTATTTTTTCTTAATGAAGTTTTAAAATGAGCCCAGCTTTGTTTCTCCTTCTGCCAGCGTACCTGAAGGCGTAGTGGTAGGCATGAGTAAATGTATGTTGAGAAGTTAAAAATGGGACATCTTATGCAAAAGGCATCAGTCAGAACATAGGGGAAAAAAACATTCTGTGAATGAAATATTGTATGTTCAGATTTTATAAGATTATTTTTTTTTTTTAGCCAGCCCAATTTACAGCCGTATATTTTCTTATGAAAGATGTCTAATAACAGGTGCTGTAACACTGTTGTTGGGTTTTACTGTCTGGTGGTAAGTGTATACAATATTTCTAAGGGCAACTATGTACTGTGATGTAAAAGTCTGGGCTAAAATGTATATAATCCATGTACATAATTGTGTACTTGATTATAATTGATTGTAAAGATTTAATAAAATGTAAATATTCTGGTCAAGCTGTGCTAAACTGCCACTAATTTACCTTTGACACCGTTTCCCACAGCATTCTCCCGGTAAAACTGGCTGCTCGTGGCTTGGATGGGCACACGCTTCACTGGGTAAAAAACTGGCTGGATTGCCGGGCCCAAAGAGTTGTGGTGAATGGAGTTAAATCCAGTTGGTGGCTGGTCACGAGTGGTGTCCCCCAGGGCTTGTTTTGGGGCCACTCCTATTTAACATCTTTATTGATGATCTAGACAAGGGGATCGAGTGCACCCTCAGTCAGTTTGCAGATGACACCCAGTTGGGTGGGAGTGTTGATCTGCTCGAGGGTAGGGAGGCTCTGCAGAGAGACCTGGACAGGCTGGAGTGATGGGCTGAGGCCAACTGGGGTAGTTTCACTAAGGCCAAATGCTGGGGGCTGCCCTTGGGCCACAACAACCCCCAGCAGCGCTACAGGCTTGGGGAGGAGTGGCTGGAGAGCTGCCAGTCAGAGAGGGACCTGGGGGTGTTGATTGACAGCTGGCTGAACAGGAGCCAGCAGTGTGCTCAGATGGCCAAGAAGGCCAATGGCATCCTGGCTTGTGTCAGCAATAGCGTGGCCAGCAGGGACAGGGAAGGGATCTTACCCCTGTACTCGGCACTGGTGAGGCCGCACCTCGATAACTGTGTTCAGTTTTGGGCCCCTCACTACAAAAAGGACATTGAATGACTCGAGCGTGTCCAGAGAAGGGCAACGGTGAAGGGTCTGGAGCACAGGTCTGATGGGGAGCAGCTGAGGGAACTGGGGGGGTTTAGTCTGGAGGAGAGGAGGCTGAGGGGAGACCTCATCACCCTCTACAGCTACCTGAAAGGAGGGTGCAGAGACGGGGGATGAGTCTCTTGAGCCAAGGAACAAACAACAGGACAAGAGGGAATGGCCTCATGTTGCGCCAGGGAAAGTTTAGACTAGATATTAGGAAGCATTTCTTTCCAGAAGGGGTTGTTGGGCATTGGAAGGTGCTGCCGAGGGCAGTGGGGGAGTCCCCATCTCTGGAGGGGTTGAAGAGTTGGGTTGACCCAGCGCTGAGGGATCTGGTGAAAGTTGAGAATGGTCAGTGTGAGGTTAAGGGCTGGACTGGAGGATCTTCAAGGTCTTTTCCAACCGACATGATTCTGTAATTTCTGAATTGCCTGCCAGCTCTGTTTGCCTTAGTTTTGAGCAAGGCCCTTTGGTTGTTGCGTCAATACTGTCCCACATCTTTATTAGCAACCCTAATGAAGGGTGGGCGCAGACTTGGCAGAGCAGTCAGTTCCCGGCTGGCAGCGCTGCTCTCAGGGGTCCCTGGGGGGCAGGAGAAAGCGCTGCTGGGAGCCTGGGAGGGGTCGGCACACAGGAGGCTGGAGCCCCAAGCCCTGCCCTAGCTCTTGCAGGAGCCCCTCGCAGGGCCACCAGTGGGCATGCAGCCTCCCTACCAGGAGGGTACAGGGGAGCACAGCTGTGGGTGAAGGTAATGGAGATGCTGTGATGCAGAAGATTCAGAAATAAGTGATAACTTCCCACTCTGAGAGTGGCCAAACACAGAGATACTACATATAATCAGAACACCACCTTTTCAGTATAAAAGTAGAAGTGGCCTGGAAAGGGTCTCAGCAACCTCCTCTAATTGAAGTATTTCAACAACTCTTACTCTTTTTTTTTTTTTTTAAATCCATTCCTGCAGTAAGAATACAGATCCTCAAAAGTTCATTTTAAGTATGACTACTTCTGAGCCTGTTTTCATTAGAATTAAAGAAAAACAGGTCTCTCTTGGGCCTGATTAGGTATGTCTCAGAGGTAACATACTCCATCATCCTTCCTTTGTTATCAGCTGTTCTTGATACCTCAACTCCCATGAGCTTTTCCTCCATGGAAGTCAGGATTAAGAAAATAAAAGATGCAGGAGCCCTAAATGTAACTCTTTTTTCAAGTGTTTGGCAGTGCTGCTGATATTCATTAAGCAGAAACCATTACCAGCCTCACCAAGTGTAGTGCTAAATTTCTTCAACCTACTCTTACAGGAGAATCAGTACTTCAGGGACTGGAGTATTTTAGAGGAAAGGTACCTTCTGCCTTCATCATCCCTTGAAGGTCTTAAAGCTGGGGTACTCTAAAAGCATTTTGGTCTGTGGGGCATACAGCCATGTAGTAGGTCTTCCTCAACCAGCTGCCTGCTGCCCATCGGCCCTGCAGGGGCATCACCAGCCGCTGCCTTACTTACAGGCTCCATGTTGTAGCAGCGATGGGCAGACAAACGGCTCAGTGCAGCAGGGCAATGTGACTCAGAGCTGGGCAAACAGGATGGAGTCCAGTGCAAACCTAGGTCTTTGTAGTAAAGGTTTAATAATAAAAAAGATTACCATAAGGAAATATGCAAAGAGATGGAAAGAGGAAGAGGGAACACTGGTATGAGCAGACAAATACATTGAGATGTATTGTGCTTCTCTGTGGCACCTCCTAGGAGTGGATGATGGT